TTGTTTTCAGAATTGTGATTTGTTTTGCACTTCTCTGCCACCATACTAATCACAGCAGTCTTCTCCTTCACCGCTAGGTGGCGCGATCAAACTTTTATAGTGATTAAGTGACCGCGGGGTGTCGCAATTCTCGGCATATTTGTTATGCGTGTCCTTAATTCAGTCAAGGCTTATTTTTATTTGTTTTTTAATTAAAAAATGAACATCACTCTTTACTGACCTTTATGTCATTCCAAACCCGAATGACAAGAAAAGAAGATTTAGGCAGATTAATGTTTAGGAACATCACGTGTCGCTTCTTTTATACCCTTTATGATACATAGCCAACTATATAGCAAATCTCAGATGCACTACATGTAAACAACCCAGACTGCTACATTTGGAGAATTAGCCGATATAAACATTAACATCATGCTCGAACTCGGTGCAGATGTTATTCTGTCTAATATGTAAACTTCTGGAACGAGTCATGCGAGTTTTTTTTAATGATTAATTTAATGTTTTTGCCTTGACTTCCTCAGTGTACAATTTCATTAATAACATAAGCAGACCTTAGAGATATGAGGAAATAATAAAGTAACGTTAGTGAGTCTGTGAGAATGTTTTTAATAGCCAGTAAAGGGTTTACGAGCTGAAGGTTTCCAGGAAGGAAATGGGCGTGTCTGCGCTGCTGACGCACAGTGACGCAAGTCTCGCGATATTTGGTGGCGCTGCGCTTTGATATAATCCCGGCACGTCCGTTTGTCCTCTCGTTCGTCCTCAGTGCAGGATAACGTAACGTCGCCCGCCGCAGCGGCAGATACAGGCCACAGACCGCGAATACTGCTTACCGACACCCCTGACAGCCCAAGAGCGAGACAACAAGCATCCCAGACATACGTGAGGTGAGTAACGCTAGTTTGTTCACGAAGGATCGGCGCGGCGCGGTCAGTGAGGGACGCGTCGCGTTTCCACGCCACCCTCATGCGGTTTCTGTCACCGTAAACCTGTCCGAGTCTTCACTTCAGTGGTAGATTATCTTTAAACCGAGATCTTCTTGACACGACGTATCTAACAACTGCGTAAAATGAAGCGAGAGCTAGAAAATGTCCATTCAATGAATAGATTCGAAAAGTA